CGGTAGGGCGGGAGGCCAGGGCGCGGGGCGCGGGGCGGGGTGGCCGGGGGCCGGGGCGGGAGGCGGCGGGGAACGGCGGATCCGGCGGCGGGGAGTGTGGCGCAGGGGCGGGACGGCCGGCGTGCGTCGAGGGGAGGCGGGGGCCGGCCGGATTGGTGGCGGGCGACGACCAGCGGCTTGGGAGGGAGGAGGCGGAAGGTTGGGGACGGGAAACTTCCCTCCCGCGCGGCGGGGGAAGGGAGTGCGGGTTGGGGTCGAGCGCCCCTCTTCAACCCTCACTTCTACAGATTGAAATTGGGTTTGAGGGTTGGACCCTTACTTTTTTTGAGTGTTTGAGGATTTAGGGTTCTAGTCTTTGTGTTTTTTTTGTTACAACCCAAAAAAAAGCTGTTATTTTTGAGGATTTGAGGGTTTAGGGATACTACTAGTAATGCTCTAAAGAGTAAAAGGCCAATACACCATTTTGATGTGGGAAAGTGGTGGGAGAGAGAGAGGACGGGAAACAAAGAACGGGAAAAAAAGTGACGGGAAATACGAAACGAGAGAATTAGTGAGAAAGAGAGGGGGAAGAATACAATCTTTACCTAATAATAAAGCAAATTGAATTTCTTTCGTCCGTCATGGCATTTTTCAGAAAAGTCTCTCTATTTCAGAGAATTCAACCCGCAGTCCTGTTTTAATTTAAAATGAATCGTTTTTCATATTTTACACAAAAGTCCCTATGTTTTGTTGAAATCAACCCACAGTCTGAATTTAAGTCACATCCGAACCGTTATTTTACATTTTTTGAAAACCCCCCTGATGTTTTAGGTAATTCATCCGCGGATCATATTTAAGTCAAACAATGTTTTTTTAAATCATCCATATCTTTTAAACCGTAATTCCGATTTGAACATGTTATATATGAAATTTGATTAGAAAAATATGTAAAATATGAATATTAGATTATTTTCACCTGTTAAGTATTTTTAAATATTATTTTGGAATATATTTAAGTCAAATAAATGATTTTCTAAATTATCCGTATCTTTTAAACCGTAACTTCGATTTTAATATATTATATATGAAATTTTATTAGAAAAATACGTGGAATCTAAATATGATGTTAATTTTACCTGTTAAATATTTTTTAAATATCGTATTGGGAGCAAACTTATAATTTATAGCGTAAGATCCGTTTTCCTTTCGTACCGGCGGCGACCCGGATTGCAAATAAACACCCCACTATAACATATAGGGAAAATAAAACATCGATAACTACACATGCATACCTCTGAAAAATTTCACAGGGGAAAACAACAGATTTCTCATCGCGAGAGTGAGAGAAAACGAGAGAGAGAGAGAGAGAGGGATGAAGGGAGAGGGAGGAGAGAGGAAGAGAGAGACGCCTTAGGATTAAACATATTCAAATACGTTTTTTTATTTTGTGTGAACACCGAGGCCATCGATGGCGAGGGTGAGAAGGAGGATAAGCGGCAATACAAATATGATGCCTCGCAAAAAATAAAGGAGATGGACCTATTGTGGTCTTGGGTGATGATTGTTGGGTTAAGAGTGCGTGTTATGTTTTCTCTCCCGTTGCAACGCACGGGCTCTTTTGCTAGTAAAACAAAAATAGGGGTAATAGTTAAAAAAATACTTTGTGCATTAAGAAATGGATTTATAATAAACAAAAATGCAAAAGAAAATATAAATTCAAAAGGGTAAGACGAGTGTTATATATCGGGTACTCGGCTTATACCTGTAACTGCATTATGAAAAAGAAAATGTAAATAAGTAAGCCGAGTGTTTTTTTTAATGGGATTACCAATTCTGCATCAAGTGTAAGCAAGTGGGGCACGTGGCCTGAACTTTTTCGAGCCACCCGTGTAAGCCAAGTGTCTTTTACTTCCTGTGCCGACTGTTTTTAACCAAACACTCGACAAAGATGCCACATTACAACCCTTCAAAAAAAAAAAGATGCCACATTACAAGTTCTTTTTTAATGGCACATTGCGGAGTATTGGGTTGTTGACGAGTGGTTTTACCAGACACTCGGCTTACTCTCCGTATGCTGAGTACCCGTGAATTCACACTCGGCACACAGCTGAACAATCAGGCAATGACAGTATTTCCTGTAGTCATACCCGTGAATTCACACTCGGCACACAGCTGAACAATCAGACAATGACAGTATTTCCTGTAGTAGAACATGCGTATGCATGGTTTGGATTTAGGGGCGTGTTTGATTCCAGTAGTGAACAGTAGCTGCATTGTATACACATCTCAACCCAGCCTGGCTCGGGAAAAACAGCCTCATATCCATGCATGGCTCGAAACATGTTAGCCAGCTATCTACTCTGCTCAACATGATCTCTGGTCCTAATTTCTGATAGACCATCCTACGCCGCCGTTACACCAGCATGCAAGATGTCCAAAGGTTACGTGCGTTTGCCAACCCAGCAATCACGCACGCCCATGGCACCGGAGTCGAATGGGAAGCCCAATGGCATCATTATCCTCCCAATATAATACTCCCTCCATTCCTAAATATAAGGTGTATAGTTTTTGGCACGAAAATTAAAAAACGCTCATGGAGGAAAAATTTCATGAGTTTTGGGCGAGATTACACCTAACTAATTGAGATAAGAAAATAGAGGAGCTTGCCTAATATAAGAAAATGTAATCAAATCCCTAAAAACATTATCTAGGCGAGTGGTGCAGCGGAATACACCTTATATTTTGGACTTTTTCTCAAACATCTATACACCTTACATCAAGGAACGGAGGGAGTAAATTTTTATCTCTGAAAAGAAAAATGATAGACATAGGCCGTACCACAGTGAAAAGGCAACATATATATACCTGGGCCTGGGCCAGCATTTCTCCAAGTTCAGCGGAACGCCAAATAGAAACAATACTGCATTTGCATTGTCAAGAGTGTTGACAGCGAGAAGAGCTGTAACTTCTCCAAGATAAAAAAAAGGACACAAAAAAAAACCTTGGGACACCATCGCTACAATCCATAGATCAAAAGCATCAACTTTATACATGCAGACCGGCACCGCGAGCAACTATATGCTTATGTATCACCTCTGGAAGATGGAAGGCAGATCAATCTAATGCATTTCGATCTCCTGCGTCGGTACTGTATGGTCAATGTGGCGAGTATCAGACGTGCCAGATGAGCTTGCTATCTCGGCTTTGCACAGAGGGCAGAGTGCATTTATCTTTAGCCATTTGTCCACGCATTCCTTGTGGAAACAGTGTGTGCAGGGAAGTTCACGAAGCTCTTCGTTGTGTGCATACTTGGCAAGGCAGATGCAGCAAACCTGGAAGCACCAAAAAAGGCAAGTCGGTAAGTGCTTGCAACATGGCACTTCCATTTTGCAGCAATAAGCAGGTACAAAAGACACACAAAGGAAACAGGTCAACATACAGCATCTTCAGCAGAAAGCGATCGCTCCTTGTCAGTCCCTGCAGCCACTATACCTCCCTCTTGGCCTTCGGCTTCGTTACCTGAACCATGGCGGCGTTTCTTGGTTTTGAATTTATAAGTCGGCAAAGTATTGATGGATTCTGAAGTGGCCCCTCTTGTATTGTTTGTGTCTTCTCTGAAGCCCATGACAGATATAATGCAGGGGAGACAACAGCATATCATTGCGCAGAGGATGAAAGGCATGGCATACCCAATACAGCTGAAGGTGAGGAACACGATGCATAACCTGGTAGGGGACAACATGAGTAGCAGGGTAAAGAAACAGAACATCAGATCCAAAGAAACAATATATGTACTTACCTGTACAAGTTTGGAGCATCAACAGCCGAAGAACGCCCACCAAATATCCACACATTTCCTACAACAAACCACACGGCAAAGAAACAATCCAAGGCCATCTTGAAGTGATCAAAAAGTGCATTAATCCTGCAAACAAGGGGCATCCGTCATCACTTATAATTTGGTTCATGTTATGACCCATCCATAACAGAACAGAACTATGGACTTTGTAGTATATTCATCATGAGTATTCATCGTAAGTAGATGCGTGGAGGACAGGCATAAACTAGCTCCCATATACCGTAGCCTAGCTGAGAGCAGCATCTAGTAATATTTTCCTGGTCAAATAGCAAAAACAGCAAAGCTAGCCAGTTTCAACCATATAATAATTCAACAGAAGTTCCCTATGATACAGAAATGCATTTGTGAGCTGTAACAGAGTGAATTTCACATGCCAGCTATGACCATTTCATATAAAACCAACAACATATTGAGGACTATTCATGCAAAAAGACAACAATGTACCTTGGGTTAGCCAGAACTGCATTTCGTGCAGCATTCCTTCGTCGTTCTGATACACTTGCAGGAGTGGGCTCAGTCGAGTTGTTCTGCGAGGAGCCCTGAAGTGAGTGTGCTGGCTCATTCTCACCGTTCACGATATTACGGTGTATATAGCGCCAATAAAGATGTGGCAAAGTGGCAAAACAACCGACTGTGTAACCTATGACCCACTCAAACAATGGAGCTTGTGGATGTTCCTTCCTTGACAGGGATAGCACAACAATGGCAGCAACAATTTGGCTAACGTTAACGATAACTTCAACCGAAATCCATAGTCCAGAGTTCAAAGGGCTCCTATGTCGCCGACCATAGTTATCACGTCTCCTAGTGCCTGAAGCACTGTCTGCATGAGGAGGACCTATTGCTGCTGGTGGCTGCAAGGCAGACGTTGCAGCTCTTGTTGTAGGTCTATCCACAGGATTCAACTCTTCATGGTTCTCTCTACCAACACTGTGCGATGCCGAGGCCGAAGGACCGCTATCCCTTGGAATATCAATTACATGTTCATGACCACTTACCCCTGTTGTTTGTTCCATCCCAGATTGCATAGCAGTATGACCTTGAATTTTGAAGAATATGATAAGCTAAGCTCTTCAGTATTCAGAAGTAACAAAGGATGGAGGCAAGCTGCCACATTTCAATGCCCTCCTGCTATCTATGTTCTAACAAAGGATTTGTGTGCACGCTTCAACAGAGAATCCAAAGCTTCAAACTAGTCTCTCGGTTAATATTATCAATGATAGTTGTCCTGCAACAGTAATACGAAAAACGCATTAGTGTGTCACCATTTGCACACACGAAAGAGCACCATCTTCAAACATAATGAAACCAATAAGCTACTAAAATGAATATATCATATTCACATGTATCCGGAATTTTTGCCTAAAGAAAATATGTTGTCCTCAAAAGATAAGTGTGATCAGGATGAACCAATAAAACTCTACAAATGTTAACAAGTGAAAACAGATATCATTATAAAGTTTAATTACTTGAAGCACGGGTTAATATAGAAATAATGACAATGGGATCCGGCTGAGGCCTAGAACATGATGCCTCTTGCAATGGAAGATAGGGATGTTAAGGGACGATAAATACGCCTAGGGTAATATGACCTATGACGTAGCGAAGACAGACAATTGTGTGCATATGGGTCAAGTGAGCAAGGCAAGGAGCAGCAAACCAGTGAAAACTGTGAAATGATGGTAATCAGCAATCACGTTCGTGTGAGCCTCATAGGAGCATGAATCCAAATAGGCATCACTGGCACTTAAACCCTGAACAGCAATGCATAAACAGTACACATGAAACCGACAACGATCAATCTGTCTAAAAAATCGACCCAATAACAGGCACAGCGACAGAGAGTAGTATTTCACCCTCTTATCAACTCCACACTGGCACCGTGCCACATGATATTGCAAGATTACCGGGAATCAACTACATGGACCGTACTACATTGACAGCAGAACACCTAAATTTGAGAATTCTCGCAGATCCGGTCAACCGAGGGCGTATGAACACAAAAGCCACCGCCGATTTGACAAACAAATCGCCCGATCCGCACAAACAAGTCGCACGGGAGATACGATTGAGGGTTGAGATCGTTACCGCAGCCCTCGAGTGGCGCCGCGGAGGGTAGATCGACGGACAGACAGCCGGTACTCCCCTGGCGCGACCCCGGCGAACTGAGCGCCGACGGCGTGAGGAGCAGCGGCAGGGAAGGGGGAGGCGACGCCGGGTGACCTGGCGGAGCTGGCGGCGGGGAGAGGACTGGCACAGGGAGCAGGAAAAAGGCGACTGTGAGGGCGAGGAGGAGGAGTAAGCGCGGGTGGGGATAAAGGAGGAGTGTCAACCCTAGCTTGTCTACTACTCACTGTGCAAGGCAGCTCGCGCGGCGCGCGAAGGACGGCGGAATCCGGCGACCGGGCGGCGCGAGGAGTGCCGCTGGGCCAGTCGGCTGCGCGCGGCGGCGATCGGGCCTGCGGGCGGGCGGCGGCGAGGAGTGGGCTTCGCGCGGTGCGGTGGGGAGGGCGGAGACGGGGAGGGGTTGGTGGCGAGGGTCTTAACCCATCTCGGATTGGGGAATATGATGGAGGATGACGATGCCTTCTCCTTCCCGCAAAGCTAGAGCGGCGAGCGGGCCGGAATGGGCCGCCAGGGCCTCAAGTTTCCGTAAATGGGTACGCGCCGGCCGCGCCCGGGCCGCTAGGCGACAGCAGGCGGGCCGGGCCAACGAGCCCTCGCGCGGCGGACCTAATCGAGTCCTCGCGCGGTCTCGAAAAGAAAAGAAAACCGATTAGCGTCAACCTAACCTTGCCGGGAATGTGAAGGTGCCCCTCACAAAAAATGTGAAGGCTTTCTCAAAAAAAAAAAAATGTGAAGGTGCCACTCTCGAGTGCAGACGCGTCTTTGCTACATATAAAATGCATTCTGAAAAAAAAAAGTTGAAAAATGAAGACGCGTCTGCTGACGCAATAATATTGGAAAGTAGGTTGGGCCTCCTGCCTTGCAGTACGTGGACATCGTCCTTATTGTCAAAAAAAAAAGTGGACATCGTCCTCATCGTCACCGATTAGTGTGATATGCCGATTGACTGTGAGCTCAAACACTTTAAAATGAACTAGTTTTGACTTTGAGAAGGGACACTAGTACTTCCATTTAAAAACATATTGCTACATGATGGGAATATGGAATGTGCCCTATGGCAGTACCACTACTAGTGACTCCCTTTTAGTATGAAATGGCACTGCGAGGCACACCTACTACGTACCAGCTACAAAGTAATAGTTGCACGCACCTGCTACAAACATACTCTTTGTTCCTGTTTGGCTCAAAAATCATCGTTCCACCCAACTCCCAACATTAGTTTTTTTAGATACTTATAACAGCAACTTAGAGATTAGTAATTACTCCCTCCGTCCGAAAATACTTGTCATCAAAATGAATGAAAAGGGATATATCTAGAACTAATATACATCTAGATACATCCCATTTTATTCATTTTGATGACAAGTATTTCCGGACGGAGGGAGTACTTGTAAGAAACTGGAGTTTTCCATGGAGGAAGAAATTATATATTTTTTAATAGATAATAAGAATATATGTTTTGAGACACGAATAATTAGCTATTTTTATGTGTGTGCGCACACGCGATAAGGAATAATATGGGCCAGCTTACCACATGCAAGGCCTGGTCAACACCATTTATGCTTTACATGAATCATCCCATTTTGCTGTCCAAATCTAAGCTACTAAAATTCAACACGGAGCTTCCTAGTACGTGCCTGCGTGCGGGAAGAACACGAGGGAACTATCTCAAACCGAAGCGCTTGGGCTATGTATCGCCTGTGTTGACTCATAATTACGTCTCTCCTCTAGCAGCCGTCCTGCTCGCTGCTTGTAGGTCGGTATAGTGAGGGACACTCGAGGAGCGGTTTTCCACTGGTTTTTCTTCGGTTTTCATTTCTCTTTTTCTTCTTCGGCTTTTTTTGGGGAGTGGGGGGGGGGGGTATTTTCTTCTCGGTTTCCATCAATTTTCTTTGTTTCTTTCTCATTATTTCCTTTTTTTTGTCCAATCCATGTCTACTTATTCATACATAACGTACATATTTTGTATAAAACCATTTTATACATGTTTTCAAATACATATTGTGCATCTTTTTTTGAAAATATATGTACAGATGTAAAACTTTTTTCCATACACACTATGCATTTTTGCTATAAATAAGAAACATTCTTTATATACGTTTAGAATTTCAAGAAGACATGATTAAGCTTTTATTGAAATATACATTTTGACGTCCCCTTTTTTCCTTAATATTATACTTTATTTTATACATATGAAACATTTTTGTGCATGTTTACATTTTAAAAAATACATGACTAAAATCTATTCATATATAAATTTTGACGTCCACTATTTTCATACATATTGTACATTTTTTTATGCATCTGAAACCTTTTTTAAATTGTTTATTCGAAACATTTTTTATGCACCTGAAACATTTTTAAAAAAATTATGCATCTGAAACATGTCCGCATAATTAAAAAATGTTTCAAACCATTCAAAAATATATGTGACATTCGAAAAATATTAATGTGTTTCAAAAATATGTTACTAGCATTTCAAGAAAAATATTTATACAAAGTAATGAAAATATTTGCTTAGTTTATAAAAAATATTCTGTATGATTCAGAAAATTGTTCAACGTGTATTTCACCTTTTAAATTTGTATTCGGAAAATGGGTAAAACATATATTGGAAAATGGTTTATCGTGTATTTGAAAAATGTTCAACGTGTATTAAAAAACATTCAAACGTATACGAAAATCTACAAGATGTCTTTGAGAAGTAGATATGTATTAGGAAATAAAAAAAGTATAAAGAAACAGAAAAAACCAGAAATCAAAAGAAGTTTTGATAACAACAGACAGAAAAAAAGATAGAAGAAAACGCATGAAAGGTTCTAAAATCGACCTGAACCTGTGTTAGAAGCTCATGAAACACGCTAACTCGAAGTAGTGAGATATAGGGTGTGTTTGCTTGGTGTCCTGGAAGCTTCACACGCCTGGCCTGAAGTCTACCTTAGCTCACGCGACAACATGAGCTCTGAGACAACCGGGCGGCGCGAGGAGTGCCGCTGGGCCAGTCAGCTGGGCGTGGCGACGATCGGGCAGGCGGGCGGCGGCGAGGAGTGGGCTTGGTGTGGTGCGGTGGGGAGGGTGGAGACGGGGAGGGGTTGGTGGCTAGGGTCTTAACCCATCTCGGATTGTGCAATATGATTGAGGACGACTATGCCTTCGCCTACCCGCAAAGCTAGAGCGACGAGCGGGCCGGGATGGGCCGCCAGGGCCTCGTATTTCCGTAAATGGTGTGCGCGCCGGCCGCGCCCGGCCCGCTAGGGGACAGCTGGCGGGCCAGGCCGATGAGCCCTCGGGCGGTGTCTCAAAAAGAAAAGAAAACCGAGAGCATCCGGGCCTAACCTTGCCAGAAATGTGAAGATGCCTCTTAGATCAAAAGAAAAATGTGAGAGATGCCACTTTCGAGTGAAGGCGCCGTCTTTACTATAAAAAATGAATTTCTCAAACAAAAAACCTTGAAAAATTAAGACGTGTCTGCTGACGCAACGGTGTTGGAATGTTAGGTTGGGCCTCCCTGTTGCGGTGTGTGGACATCATCCTCACCGTCACCGATTAGTGTAATATATACTGATTTTTTTTGCGGGTGTAATACATACTGATTGACTATGAACTTAAACACTTTCAAAAGAACTAGTTTTGACTTTAAGAAGGGACGCTAGTACTGTCAAAAATATAAAGAGTTGCTATTAAAAGGGTCATTAATTGGCATCCACTTGATTTCTTTCCTTACGTCATTAATTGGACCATGATTTTTGTGGATTACAACTTTTAATGGTGATGAGTCAGGGTGTTGACCATATTTCTTTCCTTCGTACCTAGGCTCTTGGGTGCTTAGGACAACCAACTCACTTGATCCTAATGTGTTGTCCAATAAATGATGATTAGTTACATCAACCTTTTAAAAATC